AATCCATTTGATTTAGAATTCCTCAAAGGAATTAAATGCTTTTCTATCACTTAGCCAGTTAGAAGTAAATAGCATCATTTTAATCGATTTTTAACCAAAAAATAATCAATTAATTTAAGTTTTTCGTCAAAATTTTCTACATGGGTTGTACATCTCGGAATTGTTAACAATCAGGAAGCTTTATCATGCGAACGCTTTGCAAACTTCATTGAGACAATAAATGAAAACAAAACATTTATTCAGTACGCTAGCACTCCTCATCCATACAGAAAGTGGAGTGAACTATTAACTACATTAAGTTACATGAACATTATTAAAGTGGAATAGTTTTAACTTTATACTAAAATTAGCAGGGAAAGTAGAAATATTAATCAATGTGACTCTTTGGAATTGATCGACCGGCATTTCACTTCTGCGAGGTTCGTGATAATAAATGATAGTACTCCAGAAGTTGAAGTATCGAAAAAAACTCATGTTACTCTATTGATTCAGTAAGTGATTCGACTTATCTTCCAGGCTTTTTTGAAGCTTCAAAAATTATCTAACCCTATTCAACTCGTGATCACCATGATGATTAAACTTTTTACAATGATTTGATACATTACTGCGGTGTAGGAATGATCAATTTGTATCTACGAAAATTTAGTAAATTCAAAAATAAATGTTTAGAAATTTAACTTTTCAAAATTTAAAATTAAAGTAAGTTAACAAGAAATAACCATCCCTAACTCCAGTGACCATTGAGTTACGTTATGTAAAAACGTTTTTCTGTAAAAGAAATATAATTATAATAGTGCCATTGTTATTCGGGTCGAGTCGAGCTCTAATAGAGTAGAAGTTGGGTCGAGCGGGCATGTGCGATTCTTGACTCGGTATGGGCCGAGTCGGACCATCGAAAAGTGGCCCGATTTCGAGGCCTGGTGTGAGGTGTGGGTGTGGGTCTTCCCTTCATGCACACCCACACCGACACGCACACACTGACAGCGCCACCCCATATCCATACACCCACACCCTCATCCTCCGTAACAAGATATAATTTTTTTTAGCATCATTCAAATTGAAAGCTGAAAATTTTCTTCGCCTTGACCGCGACCTATTCTATTAGTTACACAAAGATACATACAATGCAGTTGTGGGATGCGAGTGTGAATATAGACTATCTCTTGAAACTTATCGACATCAAAAGTCACACCTTGCTGCAAATAATTATGACCATGTTTTACCATTGTTTACTTTGTGAAGTGTAGCGACATATTCCTGTCTTGCATCAAAGAGTCAGCGAATCCGTCCGATGAGTGCTATAGGATAATTAAATTGAAAATCGAAAAATATCTACGATAGTGATGTCTGGTAACGTAGAGAACATAATTTTAACAAAGATTACGAAACTCGTCCGTCATTGAACTTGACATTTTTTCATTTGAGAGTGTGTGATGTGGGTATGAATGTGTCGATCAGAATTAGGAGATTATCCACAGCTGTATCCTACACCCATATCCAAACACACCCACCAACACGCACACGTACACCCACCCTCACCCACATCCACACCCCAAAATGTTTACTTCATTTCTATAACTAAAAGACTAGTCAGCATAACGTGGAGAACTTAAAATATGTTGTCAAGACTCGCATCTGCATCTCTTAAATTCTAACTTATTTTATTGGCACAATTACTTAGTGGAAGGAAAATATAAATGGTTGGCACATTATTCTCATTAACAACATAAGCCTTGAAATGATTCAATGTAAAAGATACTGTAATGTTCTGTTTTGCTGAGAACTGAATAAGTTGAAATATTTGATTGAGCGTATTTTCGTCATTAGTTTTATACAGTATCTTGGTTTGTTACTGAGTAAAATAACTGTACGAGTGTTTTTTTCTTCAGAAAGATTTCTTTTCGTACCAACTTCAACAAAAGTCATACGTGTTTTATTTCATTATGTATTAGAAGAAATTTTCAACAATATAACAGACGAAAAGTAATACAACCTACGTAACAACTTGAACAACAAAGATATCGGTATGAATATGCGTATATTATGACAGTAGATGATAGAATTACTGACTATAATACTTGCACTTCACTTTGCGCAAACAGATTTCCTTGCGTTCGGTAAAGTATTGATTTATAGGTAAGAATGTATTTGTTATAAACATCAAATTATGTGCTATTTTTATTAAGCATTCGATCGTTGTGGTATCGTAATATCATCAAACCAAAATTTGTTTCAAGAATTATACTAATTCGATATCAACTGCATGTATGATTAACTATCGAATTATTTTTCGAGACTTTTTATTTACATATATGAATAAAACATGGTACAAATTTCAAAATAAAAAACAATTTTTTATTTTTTCTATTACTCATTGCTTTTCGACATCCTTTCAGGTATGTGTTTTTTTTATTTTGTGTGCAAGATTCGCTATGTGCAAATCACTAAAATGTATCGTTTTGTGCACATGTATGGTGGTATGCAATGTTCCGTGTGCCTCTTGCATAGACTGGTTCGTGACAGAGTATATATTAAGAAAAAAAAAAAAGAAAACTGCAAATATAATGAATGGTAAGAAACGAAAAAAGTTGCTCCGCTACACAGGTAAAAGAAAGAATCATTCGAGACAACAAGCAAACAGTGGTACATATGCAACATCAAACATAATCAGCAGCATCTCAACCCACAATTTTTCCCATATATTCGAGTTTTTTTTATTTCATCGTGATGACTAATTTATTAGAATGATGCCGAAAATTGAAAGAAGTCTATCAAATCACACACATATAGTGTCAATATGATCTGCACATTAGACACGATTGAGACAGATATGAAATCGATCATAATGATTGTCTTTCTTTTGAATGATCGATGAATAAATGTTTCTTAATTAGTAGTTTCAATTTATGAACACTGCCTATATATTACAAAATTAGTTTGTTGCCTTTTTGACCAATACTACACGTCATGTTTAGTTAATCAAGAGATGATCGTTGAACTATCAGCATAATAATATTAAAATTTTCACGCCGGTAAGAATGAAAATAAAAAGTATCGCGTCTTTCAACGCTGTCTCAAAATCAATTCGAAATACTTCTTGTCATACAGCATAACAGAACGTAAGGTACTGATCAGATGGTTTCAGTCTGGCATATTTCTGTGAGAATGATCACGATAACTTTAAGATTGTCTGACATTTTTGTGTAACATTAGTTTTTTCTATTTTCTTCTTGTTAAGTTAATAATTCTTTAAAGCTTTGTAAATATTTTGAATTCCTGTTATCTTGATCATCTTTTCAATTCGTATACGTGAGTTAAATAAGATAGAGGCAGAACATTTTTCTTTTATTCATATTAGAAAGTTTAATTAATCCAATAATATGGAGTACATGAGGAAAATGAATCACAAAATAATTCAAAGTTTTTATATTTCTTCATAGAAAAGATTTATCTGTTAGATCTGGCTAGATGTTTTTTGATTTATTAATTATGCAGACTCTACAAATATATAGTCAGATTTAAGAGAATCGATCAGAGTCTATCATGTCTTGCATCCTTTGTGTATGTCTTTTCGCCTTCACTCCTACACAGGAGATGCACCTTGTACGTATCCATTCGACTTTACCTTCATTAAAAAATTTTACATGTAAATGTCGGCATGTCTGTGCTTCACGTGATTGGTTCTACATAGCTAGAGGATGGAGTACAAAGAGAACACAATATTACTTTATGTGAAACCATATTTCTGGTTAGTTGAGAATAATTATTGAATACATTATTTAAATTGGAAAACTTCGTTTTTCCATTTTTAGAACATGAAAAAAACTTCGCTCTATAATATGAGCCTATATATCTACTTTATTAGTAATACTAGCGATATGACAAGATAAGGTGACATTTATTTCAGTGCTAAAAACTCTGAGGATAAAATTTGAACATTGTTGATTTGAAAACAAAAGAAAATAAGTGATTTTTATGAGTGAATTCTACACTTTTGAACTATCCTATCGATTAGTTAGCCTCGATCAATTAGAATTGAGCAAAAAAACCACATCTCGATATCATTGTTGGCATAGATGAAGAAAGTAGTAATTCAAAGTTTCTTCATTAACTGTGGAATAATCAACCAAGATGATCTTAACCATTCTTTACTTTATTGAAAGAAATAGATTGATGATTTTTTTGTCATAAACTTACCAATGCAATTCACTTAGAGCTAAAATGTGGATCTCACACATCTTCTTTAGTTTCATGATACTAATATAAGATACATTAAGTCAAAAACCTCTAATAGACGACAGTTGCTTTCCAAGAATAATCAATTATCAGAGAAACGATCTTTCCTAGTATTTCTTCATTTCAAACAGAAGTGTTTTTTTTTTCAATTTTTTCTATTGGCATTCTATTTTTGAAGTTTCTGGTTTGTATGCGTTCGTTATCTAATTTTTTTTTATTTCGTTCTTCGTACATCACTATTATTATACGAACCATTGTTTAACTGCACATTAAGCCTGATGTAAACATCGATTGTAACTATAGAATATCTCCACGCTCGATTATATATCTCGATAAACTCAAAAGCATACTTATATTTATTATTCCCGAAGACTAGAAGTTGATACGTTCATGTTTTCTTTGTTTGTCATATGAGGATTGCGAGAAAACAACCTAGCACTAGTCAGCATCATTGATATCTATTATATAAAATTTCTTACGCAAAAAAAAGCAGAATCTATGCTACTGTAACATTCATGTTCTTAATGGTTTTATGAAAAATTATATTTAGGATAAAAGTTTATTATTCTACGTTTTCTTTTACAGTGTAGCAGTTTAAACATTTCTCGATGTTTAATTATAATTAGCAAAGAGGGTTCTCAGCATTTACTATCACAGTCTTGAAGAAAATTTACCCGATATAGCTGATGCTGTAGTGTCTGTTTGTTGTTTTTTTTTAATGTAATTGCCTTCTCGGTGTTTCAGATTAACAGAAAGACTTGAATATGAATCGACGCCGACTAGCTTTGATCTTCGGAAATGAGGACTACAGTGATGCAGCAAAATTAAAAAGTTGTGTTAAGGATGCAGATGATATGGCAGCTACATTAACTAGCTTGGGTGAGTCTTTACGATTGATATTTTAATGAATAACAAAGTTTTTAAAATTCTTTCTGTTATACTCTAGGTTTTCAATGTACAAAATATCATAATTTGAATAAACGTTCTACGGATATTGCTATCAGAGACTTTTGTGCAACAATTGAGGATGATGATTGTATTTTAATATATTTTTCTGGACATGGCATGGAAGCATACGTAAGGATTATGAATTATTTTTTACACTTATTTAAAGATTTAAGCAGTTGTTAAGAAAATTTTCTTCAAGACAATTCGTTTTGATAGGAATTTTAGTGAGTTTCTCATATTTTTCCTAGCTATATAAGACTATACGTTGTTTTCCGATAGTTAGGTTTGAGTAGCTACTTGAAATAAGCATTGTAAATAAGCATAGTTTCCAGTAATACTAGATTTCAGAGATAACAGACTTTTCAGCTATTCTTCGGAGTTGATAAGTTTCAAGATACTTGAATACAGCAAAACAATTTGTATTCGAAGTTGAAAGTTCGATACTGTCTTTGTATTTCTAGAAAAAATAGCTCAATTTGTATGAAATTTCTTTTCTTTTTTGTGTATTGGTATGTCGAAGGGATCTTTTAGCTAGTCCATTATGACTCTCTCAAATCATTATTTTGTTGTCATCTACGATTACCACTGGATTCATAAGAGCAAGTAACATGGCTGGAAAGTAAAAAGTCTTTCTAGGCTTGACATATGGATTTCATGCCAAAAATAAAGCATTCCACAATTATCTAAATATCGATATATCACTATGTATAGAAAGGATACTACGAAAGGCTTTTCAATTACTCTTTAGATAAATAGTCGAACACTGGTTCTAGCATATTTTCCCAAGGTACCACTCATTAGAAACGATTCACTTGTATATTTGATTAAATCAGGTTACAGAAGTGGTTTTTCTTTGATCTAGTATTATGTGGCGGATAATGACCTATTCTAACACATGTAACACTATTGTCGTCACGAACTCAACTCTAGCAAAAAGAAGATATATGAATTTAGATCTGAAGGCTATATTATTTTTGGATATGATTCAGTAAAATTTTCTACGAAGAATTGATAGATAATCGACATTTTCTGTGGGAAAATTGAGAATTTCTAGATTGGAGTTTTGTTACGTCGCATTGTACACTGTTGTAAGTCTCTGCTAGGTAAGATATTGACAGATTGACTTCTTAATAGATCCTAATGACGTAAGCTTGGTTAAACTGAGTTTCCGCAACTTTGGAATACACTATTATATTTTTATCATTATGATAAATATATGATTTACCATTAGTGATGACACCATAGATAAGATGAAATCGATTCTTTCAAATTTACTCAGCAAATCACAACATAATTGAATATGGAACTATTTTCAGTAGTCCACTAGCTAATAATTAACGGTGGAACATAATATTCTATAGAGGACTATACTGACAGGATAAATTGAAATTAATCCTGACGAAATGATACTCAGCGTGTTTTCTATTCGTCTCTATGTTCCATGAGTATCATTTTCAATCACTGCTGGAACAACACGAATTGGCTCATCGATTACAGTGACTGTAGGACGATCTGAATGAGCTGTAGTTGTTTACTAAATTAGCATGTTTTTTCTAGTATGTTAAGCTCATTCATCAGTCATGTAGAATTATGATTCGAGGTACTCTCGTGAGAAATTAAAAGCAATATGAAGAAGGTTGTGTCACTAGCCCGAGAGAAAATAAACAGTGCAACAAACAGCAAAGATTCTAAGTCTGCAAATTTGCACATCATCTGTCAAACGTTTGAACGTTAATATAGAACAGTTTCACTCAAATTATATTTTTTAGAGAGGCTCAAGTAAAAAACTTTTTTAGTATCCTTTGTATGTATATATTGATAAATTGCATTCCCATTTTCTCATAATTATTTCAGTGCGTATTTTCAATCTTTTCCCTACATTCTGATCAACAACAGTTAGAACTACAAAAATGAGGATTTGACTTGTCCCAAAGATGAAATATCAAGAGATTTCTAGTGTATACCGTCTAATCAGATAGTTTGACAAAGCTCTATTTCTGACTTTAAGGTTCAGATCTTCGTCTGAAAACCGCATTGAAATTAAACATAATATATACTATTCGATTCGTTCTTCGAACTTTGATCTAACTTTACTGTTGATGTTTCAACATCATGAAAGACTAAAAATCTGTTTGTGATGGCTACTGTGATGAGTCAATATGTTTGCCACTGTTGATATAACATGCAATCTTTGGCATCCTGTTCTATAGATCTATCTCAGTAGAAATTATTTTTCACCTTTTTATACAATCCACTCAATAAAGCTTTTTGAGTTTCATGAAATGAAAGAAATATAATCCCATTAAGTAGTTTCAATTATCTCATATTAGAAAAAAACTATTGATACGTCGATGTTATTATATTCAGTTGCTGTTCTCAGCTCATTTAGGATGAAGTATTAGGAAACTGTGATATGTTTAGGTTATCATTCATGATCTATCGGATATTGAATTCATATTTCTAATGTGGATACTTCGATCCGTCATTCTTTTTTCTGCCAACTGTATAATAATCACACGATTCATCCATATATAGTTCTTGAGTGGCCTATGCCAAAATATGTTTTCAAAGAGAATCTCTAAAAACCGTTGAGAAACGACAGATCACATGATCTGTAATAGAAAAAAACATTGAGAAGTCCTAAATATCATTTTTTCTAATCTAAAATTCAAGCAAATGAGTTTATTTCAAGATGTATTTATCGGTAGATTATTGTTTGTAAATAGGATTTCTCGAGTTCTCTTCAAATCTAGCATTGATGCCATGCTTTCTCCACAAAGGAGCAAAAGAATTTTCAATCACAGAAGGCCGTTCATTTTTCCCAATGTAGCTAATAATTTATTGATTATAGAAAATCGAATGCAAGGCTCACTGCAATTACCAATATTAGTTAGAGCTAACTGTACAAAGATTATCGAAGCATTTCATTAAGGAAAAATTTGTATTCTCATGAATAAATTCTGCATAAACATGCAGTATTTCGATTAATATGCATCATGTCCTGCGAAAATCGTGACCTAGTAACTAATACTAATTCGATTCTTTTATTCTCAATGTATAGACAGAAAACGATAGTCTCTTTTGTACTAAAAGTATTGATTACATCAAGGAAGAGCAGTCAATTGCCAAAATTCTATCTATCTCACTTATTTCTTTCAGGGTAAGAACTATTTACTGCCAATCGAACCGTTGGAAGATCCGGAATTCGATTGCATAAGTCTGGATACCCTGTTGAAGGACCTGAAGCGTTCTGGAAATAATCTTTTAAATATTATTATTTTGGACGCTTGTCGATTTGATGAAAACAATGATACCTGGAAAATAAAAGCTATTAATAAACAACCACATCTTAAAGCAGCATTTGGTAATGCATTAACACCACATATTAACATACCAAAAGACTCACAATTTGCTTTAATATTTTCATCTGACCCTGGTACAGTATCTTACTCTGGTGAAGAAGGTGGAAATAGTTTCTTTACATCAGCGCTGTTAAATCATTTGGCAACACCACAGCTAGAGGTTGATAACATGATGAAGCAAGTTAGAAAAGAAATGTTACAAAACTCACAGGGTCAACAACGACCGTGGATTCATTCATGTCTAACGGAAGACTTTTATTTCAATCAAGGTTTGTAATGAAACCGTTTTCTCTTGTGTTTCTCTTTCTATTTTCAACGACATCGAAACTTCATAAAACATTTAGTACAATCTAATATCACTTTTCTTTTGACATCGTTTAACACTGATTTACAACCATATGTCCTAAAAACAAAGATTAATCGACTTGTCCATTATTATACTGTGTGTTTCTCACAGTCTAAATGTTATTTCTGATTAATATTTGTCTAGCAATGTATATTTATAATTCTGATTGTTGAATAATCTCATTCAAAAACTATGATTGGAATATGCTTAATTTGTATTCGTCTGCCACTTTTAAACAGAGTTCAGTTTCACATTTGAATAATTTCAGACAAATAAAATGAGCATTCGAGCAAGCATTTTCAACTTGCCTATATCTGTCCTTTTTATTGTTTTAGATGGATCATCGGTACCTCCTCCTTCTCGTCCTTCTCCAGGTAAGAGCATTTAATTTATTTGTATGACTCGAAGATACACATGTCATTCCCTGACTTTGTTATTGCAATGATCTCGGTATTAGTGTACTCGATCATGAAAAAATGAGTTAGATTTCAAAACTTTTTTTTGTTAAATATTTGCAGTTGTGCTAAGACTAAATCAAGTAGAAAATGATAGTATCTAGACGATAAACATTTTTCATGTTGAATGATTTTGCAGAAAGGTATCAGCGAAATGCTCCTCAACATTAAAACCATCGATTGATTAGCAGACTTCGGGTCTTCTGTACTGTCGTGCTGTCTAAAACCTGTAGAGGATCTTCTATTATGTTCCTGAGATGTTTAATCTATTTCGCAAACGTTCACACCATGGAAAACCAACATATTATATTTGAGTGCAAAAAAAACATCAGTCAGATTTTAAACCTTTGTATGATTCATTATAACAGAATGTTTTCGAAAGAATCAGACCAATTATTCATAATACTTATGTTCCCAATAATTACTTAGTTGGAAGAAAATAAATGAAAATTTTTTTAAATCAATGATATTTAAATCAGTCGCTTATGTTAAGATTCGATTGATGTGCGCGAAAAAAAGCGAAGAATAATAAACCTTTAAGTGGATCATGAAATTTGGATGTATTCTGAAAGGGCTAGTGGAAATTTGATGGAGATTTTATTATTCTACGCTTTTTTACAATGTAAAATATCACGATTAATTACAATTTGCAAATTAATCGTCAAAATTCATGGAAGAAACAATGATGTTAATATACTTTTTTACAAACTATAAAAGTATTGAAATCAGATTATCATCATGTTTATCAATAGTAACTTTAAATTTCACAAAGTATCGATGACAATAATGCAGTCGCCATACAATACCGAATTCACACGTGTAAAAATCTCATCTCATCGTTAATCATCATTTACTCATAAGGAAAATGTATATTAGAGAAACAAAAATGATGTGTCTGAAATAGGTTCCATTTTAAAAAAATAGGTTGTCATTATTAAAAAGGTTGTATTGCGATGTAAATCCACTTTTATGCTAATAAGAGACTAACAATTCTGTTCAACAATATTAATAAACATTATCGTTACTCTAAAACGTAAAAAAGAAACAACTATTTTACATAAGTCAATTAAAAACAGTTCTTAATATTCAATGATTGAGACATATCTTTACTATATCTCGTGTGTTTCGACAGTTAATCATAGACAAAGAATGGTGACTGAACTTGGACAAAGTTTCAAGAGTGGCATTTAGTTGATTTGCCATTTCTATATGAAATAAGGAACATTTCTTTGATTGACATCATTCATTTACTTGCGATGATGATCTGCTTGCTTAATATCTGATGAAATGAGTGAGTCATTTATCTACAAAAGTCGTCTCTTTCATTAAAAAAGCAAATAAAACTCATTAGGCTTACAATACGTCAAAGAACTCTTTTTCTTCTAATTGCAGTTGTACCAGTTTCAGACATCAGTTTCAATGCCAGATGGGCACAATGCGGTGTTACGGTAGCTGGCGGCAATGGTCCAGGCAATGAACCGAACAAATTCAATCAACCTTGGGGTTTCTATTTGGACAATGATCAAACATTGTATATCGCTGATTTAAGAGGTTTTCGTATTATGGAATGGAAGCCTGGTGCAACCAGTGGTCGAGTGGTAGCCGGTGGAAATGGAGAAGGCAATCGTGATGATCAGTTGAATTTGCCTGTAGATGTGACCATTGACAAAGACAACGATAATTTCATCATTTCGGATTATGGAAATCAACGAGTGATGCGATGGCCTCGTCAAAATGGCACAAATGGAGAAGTAATCATTCCGAATATTAATTGCTGGGGTGTTGCAATGGATGATCAAGGATTTCTCTATGTTTCTGATGTAGGAAATGGTGTAGTAAAACGATTCCAAGTGGGAGAAGCAAATGGAACGATAGTGGCTGGTGGTATGGGAGTGGGTGATCGTCTCAATCAACTCAATACTCCGGCTCACATCTTCATCGATCATGATCAGTCTGTCTATGTATCAGACTCAGGAAATGATCGTGTGATGAAATGGGTTAAGGGTGCAACAGAAGGAGTTGTTGTGGCTGGTGGTCGAGGCAGAGGAAGTAATCTTAGACAACTGTCGAATCCTCGAGGAGTGTTTGTCGATTCATCGGGTACAGTTTATGTATCAGATCATTGGAATCATCGAGTAGTGGCTTGGCCCAAAGGAATGACAAAGGGAATTATCATTGTTGGTCAAAGCGGTCAAGGAGGCGCAACAAATCAATTGAGTTTTCCCTTTGATTTGTCATTAGATCAATCTGGTAATCTCTATGTTGTTGATGAATGGAATAGCCGAGTCCAACGATTTGATATCGAAAAGAGTTGATATTTCACGTTATTAATAATCGCTTGATGAATGATTATTTGCTCTTCGCTCAGTTAGTTTTTTTTTCAAAAATAAAAATGATGAGAGTAATTCGATCGAACAATGTTGTGTCTCATGTTCAATCTATAAGAGCTGAGGAGGAAATTGAGGAAAATGATTTAATTATCATTTATCTATTGAATTGATTGCTCAAAGAACAACTCAGCAGCTTGTTTATGCTTGTCTTGATCATGAAGATAGATATTAGAGTATCACGAAATAAATTTGATATATTAGAAGAATTCGTCGACTCAACTGACCCAAGCATCGTCGATTATTTAAAACAAAAAACAAATTGACATAAGAACAACTTTGCCGTCGTCTCACTCGACATATTTGAATTCATCGATTAAGCACATCAGAGAAGAGTAGTCTCTTGAATAAAGTTCTTTCTCAAGCTTCTTCATTTCAATTGATTCATTTTCCACAAAAATCAGCTTTTTTTAAAAATTTCCATTTCCTTTCTGGAGAGACATTTTAGTGACAGATCTATTCGTTGGAGTAAAATCCATTTGAAATAGGGTGTAGATGTTAATGTTCCCTTCACCCACGTTCATACCTACCACACATAATTGAGCATCAGTTGTATGATACAGGAAAATATTACAAAATCATGCAGTGATCTTAATCATTTGATCAAATCATTCATCCATATTTTTGAAAGTACAACCTTCGATTACGAACGGTAAGAAACATCTTTTCTCTAACATGTATCGATCATTAGAACGAAATTCGTTCAGTTTTTTTAATTTTTTTTCCGATGCCGCCTATTTTTAAAGGGCTACGGTATCATTCATAGTAGCACTGGTGGTAAGATTAAACATTTACTACTGTACAATTTGAGTTCATCAACGTTCGAAAAAGTTCAACTAATGTTCATCTCAAAGAACGAGTTTTAGAGAGCATCACTGTTCGATTAGTAGCAAATTGAACCACGTAGACGATGAAAATATGTGTTTTACTGCTTCAAAGATCAGAAGCAATGTTTTCATCTCAATTGGGTGCAGAACTGCAAAAACATTAATTTTTGAATGAACGCTTTGTGAGAGAAAAATGGCTATGGCTGAGAAAGGTCAAAAGGAAATACATCGAAAAAAATTATATCATCATATTCATAATCGAAAAAAAGAGAAAGTTTATGCGATTTTCCTTTCTTTAACAGACACTGGTGGTTGAAAGTCGATTTTCTAACTATGATTAATGCATGGAATGATAAACCAGAGCAAGAAATCAACTGAGAAAAGGCGTTTTTTTTCTTCGTTCGTGACATTGATAGTCTTCACTTTGGTCTGATCTCTTTCCATTTTTTTTAAACGAAAATTCGAACTGAGTGTTGAACTATATAACAACAAAGTGAGACAGCTCACTTTGTTCACAGACTAGAGCACTGCATGGGTACAACTTTTAATATCCATATCTCACCCATGCTCATAGTTCAACATACATATATACTAATTTCTATTTACACTTACATATATATCACAAAACTTTTATTTAGAAAGAACGCATTGTGAAAGAATCTAATTTGTGTTTCTTCAGCTGCTCTACATGTAAAACGTTACACTGCTGAAACTCCACAACAGAGCGACTTAAATACTCATGACTCGTCCCTTTTTTCGATTGTGAGAAATCGTTAATCACTAGATATGACCGCTTGAGAGTTATTCAGATTTCCAGCTTATTCTGTTACAAAAACAAAGTATTACACGAGAACTCTATACGAAGTTATCTGTAGAAAGGGCCACCGTATTGTAACCATCGGCGTCCTCTACTGTGTATGTAGCTGTCAAAGTTTACATCAATCATCTTACGGTAAATATTGGACGTTGATAGCGTTTGCACACCACCTGTCTGATATGATTGAAATAAAATATATACGTGTAGAAGATAGCTATATTCATTCATTTTGACTCATGATGCTGATGAAGTATATCAGTCGTTTTTTATCTGTTCTATTTGGATATGGCACTGGCATGGTTGTGTATCATCGTGACAATTTTGAACAGAGCTCTTGTCACCTTTTCAAGGTAACTTTCATGGCTTTGATAGAAGAAATTGTGGAAGCGTTCGACGAATTTCGACACTTTCGATGTTCAGCGTTCTTTCTCGAGATCTGTGATATTTGGCATACTGTAGTCGTTCTGATCGTTCGCACACTCTTGCCCAAAATGATTCAAAATTATGTGCTTCTCTGGTGGATAGTATTTTTCGTATCTGGCGTAATTACACCGTGGAAACATGGTGGTCGATATGTAGATCATGGTTGTATTCGTAGTTTCAAACATTGTAAACAAGGAGATCATAGGTGTTCGAAAAACAGATATAATTGAAGAGAAACTCATACCCATACCCTATTTCACCATTACATGCAAAATTACAAGCAGCTAGTATATTGCTTGGTTATGAACTTTCATTGTTTTTGAAACCAGATCAAACTAAATAAAGTTTTTTCACGAAAAAATTTTTTTAATTTGTGAAAGAAATTCGATAAAGAACGATGGTTTAATGCAGTTAGAATACAATATAAAGTAAGTCGAAAAAGTGTAGCTATTATTTTTATGACATTTTTGCTTTTCTGATACATTGTTTGATAGAACGTGAGCTAGTGTTCACGAAAAACTAGATACATATCTTTTTTTTCACAACAGCATACGTCGTTTTGGAATGACACAATTTTCTATGCCTTTAGTTTTAGTCCAAGAAAGTGTATTAATGATTGAACACCTTCTACTCTTATCATGGACCACGAATGAGTTGCATTAAAAAGTACGCATCGATATTTTTCTATTCTTGTCAGTGTCAAGAAAACGTCATTTTAATTGAGTTTTGTACCAAATATCTAGAGTTCTGTCCGTAATTCTCATTTTCTTTTTCGAAGCCAAGCTTTTACGTGATAAAAATGTTATATATTCGGAATCAGCACCAAAAAGTGAAACAATTGTTAGAAGTTTTCACAATATTTTTGATCTTTCATGTTTTGGTCACAAATTCCTCTTCATTTCAAATGAAAACCAGAAAAAAAAAACGGAAGTCATTAAAAACAATAAAGAACTACATCAACCACTTCAGTTTTTAACGTTGTTTCCGATTATAACAAACTTATTAAATAAAAACTTAGTTTTGAAGAAGAAAAATGAGAATTCTAGGCATTTGGCACCAAACTTGATCAAAATGACTTTTTCACGACAAAAAGAAACGAAAAAAAACTGTTATTCGAACAAGTTGTTTCTTGCAAAAAAAAGAACATTCGTCTAATTTATTGAATTATGAGTGCCTTAATTGTTAAAATATCTAATTTCGTTATTTACTTTCAAGTTTAGCATATATATTTATTTAATATAAAAAGATACAGTTCAAAGTTCATAAATAGTTGCAAGCAATATATATTTTTTTGTGATGAAA